AGGGAGGGAGAGGGAAGGAAGCTGGGATGCAGATTAGAACTGGCATAATTACAGCCTCCTTTCCTTCCTGCCCCTGGCATGCCCTTTTTTTCCCCAGTTCCAAGGCCCAGTTATGACACGGTGGAAGCAACCAGGCCAGTTCTTTCTGTACCAGCTGAGAGGGATCAAGGAAAGGGGGCACAAAGAATTCTGCACCCATCCAAATCATGTAAGGATACCCTGCTATGGCACCCTTTCTTGGGCTATTTCCACCTTGGGTCTGAATTGCTGCAGTACAAAAACTGCTTTACATTTCTCTGTTTGTGTAGCTTCTTTATCTAGTCTTGAATCAGACCAACTCCTGTACCTCTGTAACAGAGGAGCAATAAAAACATTGGCAGCTGCAGCTTCCCTTCCTTTCCCATTACTAGTCCAGATTGTGAGTGAAAGATGATGCCCCACTTGGTCAAGTTCTCCCTGTCACAAATTCAAAACATTGGCTGGAATTTTGCCTTTCTTTCAGCCCAAGGGCTGAATTCAGTTTTGGTGAACCTACTGGGTGCCATATTCCAGTGATGGGACAAGGCAAATGAGAACAGGGCCAAAATACCAACACATAACAGTTTAGAACTTGGGAAAAAGACTTCCAACATTTTAAAATGGTGGAAAAAGCAATGAAGACTGGAAAACCAAAAACCAATTGATGGTGGAAAAGGCCATCTGAAAACTTCAGAGGGCCAGATTTGACCCATGAACATGAGGTCCAACACCCTGTTCCTTGCCTCCATTTTTCTCTTTCCAACCTATCAGTGCTGTGATATCCCCTGCTCCCAAATAGCTTCCCATACTTAAGTGGATTCTGGGGGATGGTGGAGGACAGGAAGGCCTGGAGGAGTGTTGTCCATGGGGTCGCAATGGGTTGGATGTGACTTTGCAACTAGCAAGCAAGCAAACTGCAGCTAGGCTTGAAAAATGTTCCCCATTGGTTGCTGCTTGAGAGGGCATGTGTGGGGGGTATTTGTGAGTGAGAGAGACAGTGGCAGAGAGAGAATGGGGTACTGAACATTCTTTTGTTCCCTTGTTTTAGGACTATTGTTTGGAGTATAAGAGTAACCTCTGGGGCTATTCTTATGGAGATTTTGCTAGTTTTTTAGGTCCTGGCAATGTTTTGGTTTATGAGGGGTAGGCAACATAAAACACAGGAAGCTGACATTTGGAAACGTTTAGATTTGGCACTGGCTAGATTAGATCTTGGCAAAAGGAGGGGTAGAAATTTAATAAATAATAATAAAAGGTAAAGGTTTCCTCATGGCATTAATGTCCAGTCATGTCTGACTCTTGGGGGCAATGCTCATCTGTTTCCTAGCCGAGGGAGCCAGCATTTGTCTACAGACCATTTCCATAGTCATGTGGCCAGCATGACTAAACACCAAAGTGCATAGAATGCTGTTACCTTCTCACCGAAGTGGTACCTATTTATCTACTTGCATTTGTATGCTTTTGAACTGCAAGGTTGCCAGAAGCTGGGATGAAGCACCTTGCAGTTTGCCCCATGTGTGGATTCAAACTCTGGACCTTTTGATCAAGCAGCTCAGCAGTTTAACCCACTGAGCTACTGCATCCCTTTAATAAAAATAATGGGAAGGCAAATTATGTATAAATTACAGTCATCTGGGGGGATTTCAGTTACCCTAAGATCCTGGATGTTAAAACTCAAATTTCTGATCCTTTAACAACAGTATGTAACATGTCTTTTAAATCAGCACTTTACTAAAGAACCGGAGAATGGCCAAAATAATGCTAAATTTCAGAATGGATGGAGGAAATTGCAGTTCAATTAATGTTGCTTCTGGGTAAACTGGTGCAAAGGATTTTTAAAGTAAAATTATCAATCATGTGGAATTGAACAACTCTGTGGTGGAACACCCAGCATAGGTTCTGGGCATACCCCTTTCCCTTCCTCCAAATTCCATTTGTGACCTGGGGAAACAAGCCAGTGTGGGGTTTTGTTGTTGTTGCACTGGCTGCCGGGGGGGGGGGGGGGGGGGGGGCGGAGGCAGGACTCAGCCTTTGACCTCCAATACCAAGGCCATCAAGGATTGCATCCTTGCACTTTCAAGCATTTTTATTAACTCTTGCATCATATACTCCTGTGTAAATGTAGCAGTTATAGGATAATTGGTAGGATTCCTCTATGGATTGGTAATGTTTAAATAACAGAAATGAGAGAGTAGGAACAACTGGTCAGGTCTTACAATATAAGAGGAATGTAAACCATGGGATCCCCTAAGGGACCAGTGTTTTAACAATTATTAATAAATTACCTCGAATTAGAGTGAGCAGTGAAGTGGCTAGATTTTCTGACACATTATTTAGAGTAATAATAACTAAAACGGATTACAAAGAGCTCCAAATGGATCTCTCCGGACCTAGGGAACAGGCATTAAAATGGCTGAATAAAAGTAAGTGTGAAATGATGCAAGTTGTGGCAGAACATTTTATCTTTACATAAACTCTAATTGGATCTGAGCTGGCAGTGCCTGAGCAAGACAGAAAAGTAGGTAGCTCAATACTAATGGTGTGCATATCCTCCACTGGGGCAGGTTGGTGGGTGTCACTAGGAAAGGAACTAAAAATAAAACTAGTAATATCATACTCAATGTCCTTACAGAAATCTGTGGTATGGCCACATTTGGAATACTGTGTGCAGTTCTGATCATGGTGTGTAAAAATGTGTGATGGAAACATGCAGAATAGGACAACTGCAAGGATCACAGGGCTTTCTCTTATGAAGAAAGGTTTGAATGTTTTTAGCTGGATTAGGTATGTTTTTAGTCTAATCAAGTATGTCCTAATGTTATTTTTGTCAAGAGGGCTAAAGTCATTTTGAGACAGGCTTTGCTATTTATTTCATGCACAGATTTATTTCATTTCACTTGTCACCTTTGGTGAAACAAGTTTTACATTATTTCTAAAGTGATACAATACTTTGCAAAACCTGTTTCCTAGAGGCATAAGCAGGATAACCTCAGAGGCAGCAATCCTTCTTTCAAACCTACAACTCCTTGGAAGTAAAATTCTGTTGCCTGCATCTCCAGATTTACACTGAGGCCAATACAAAATTTCTCCTGATTTTTGGTTTCTGTTCATCTCCATCATATGCAACACTAAAAGCACAATCCTATGCATATTTAGACATGGGAAAATTAGCTCACTACTGGTAGGGGTGTGCTGGGGGTTGTAGGCCTTTTATCATGCATTGGACTGCATGTATTTTGCATTTCCTGCATCCATGACTATGTTGTACTGGCATATAGTATGCATGCTGAAATGTTAACTTTTCTCCATTCCTCTGCCATACACTCCATTTTCTAGTGTGGGAGAGAATCTTTGCCCAAAAGGAGGTTGCTAGAACAAGCAACAATCAGCAGTTGATAATCTGCACCCTAATAAGTGCATCTCTTTCCAGGAACAGGAAGGTATGCATCCCTCAGATAATTTGAATTAAACAGCCACATATTGAGGAATTATTATTCAAATTAAAAATGGTTGTTTCTTGTGTTTCACGCTACATTAACCATATTCACAAGATGTTTTCTATCAAAAAAAAAATCAAAAGTTAAAGCTAAATGACATTTTTCCTTTCCAGACAATTATTTCAGTGTGCCGAGAAGGTAGTTGATTCATAAACTGGAATCAGGCAACATCCTCTATAACTAGCAAGAGGACTACTATTTAGCCATCACATCTCTAAGAAACAGTAACTTTGGATAACTTTTTAAAGTAATCTACTTGACCAAAGGTGACAATGGGATTAAAGGAGTATGTGTAACCTCCAAGGAAAGCAATAATATCCTTAATCCATTTTTAATCTGCTTTAAAACGACTGTCTTTTTTCAGCCTGGAGTGATCTCCTTCTACTCGGGCCTTGTCCACAAAACACCGGTTAAACCAGCTGCCAAGTCTTAACTGTCCGGGTCCCAATCAAGAAGAAACTTTGTTTGCGGGAGACTCAGTAATTAATCAGTGAAACTGATTAGAGGCCGTTCTGGATGTGTGGCCTTAAGAAAATCTTTCCCTTTCCCGCATTCCCAGCTCCACGTGGTAGAAGATGCGGACCAGGCAATTCCTATAAATTATAAACTTCTTTACAGCTGAAGTCTCTCTTCTATCCCTGATAGTACATGTGCTGGAGGGGTGGAGCGGGCTGCCGGAAACCGCAGTTTTGAATTAAACACACTCTTTTTACAAAAGTCCTAATGAGTGGGACTTTCTTTTAAGTCAATGTGCCTAGCACTGTTCTTCCGTGAGTAGATCACACGAGAAATATGCTAAGAAGCCGTAGGTTACCTCCTGGAAAAGCAGCAGCGTTAAGGGGGGGAAAGGCGTTGGACTTGCGGTGACTTTTTTCTCCAGCCCACTGGGGCAATGGAAGTTGAAAATTAACTTTCTTTCCGTTCCTTCTTGAGACTAAGCTTTGCTGTAAACTGCTTTGTAAAAACACTCAATGTGGTAGAACCCCAGCCGCCATTACTTTTGCGGCGCCTCGTGCAATGAAAGCATGGATGAGAAAGCTTGGCAATACTTCCTTGGGGGTTACTCGCAAACCCATACAAGTTGAGCTTTCTTTCCGAGGGGCCCTGGCCGCGGGCTCGGCCTTGCGCGTGGGGGCGGAGTCTTCATGGCCTGGCGTCTATTGCTGCCCCCGAGAACCCCTCCTGTGCGGAATGCTGGGTGCGCAAAAAGTCGCAACAAAGTTCTGCAACTTACTCGCCCCTGCGGCTCCTTTTGCAAACCTCCTACCACTGTGCCGGACTTTTGCATCCAGCTGCAGAAGCGTGAACAGGTCCCAGCAAACGCTTTCACGGGGAGAGCAGCAGGGACAACGGCTGCATTTTGACTGTCCCTGTCCCATTCTTTAAGGCACCCCGCCACACACCCTAAACTGCTTGCTTGTCTTTTCTCCCGTTAGCAAATTCGATCCCCCGTTCCCGATCAGTTCAACCAATCCAAGGGACACGATGCCCAACGAGTCGTCGTTCAACAAGCCCTCGGCTTCCTCGGAGCATCACGGTCCGGGGGGTAAGATGGGCACTTTTGGGAAATCAGCTGGGCTGGCAGGAGCTGGAAGCACCGCAGGGGTCTTGAGCCAGAGTCCAACAGCTGGTGGTGGTGCGGCCGCTACCTCGGGGAAAAAGTCCCCCCGGCTCCCGAAATGCGCGCGCTGTCGGAACCACGGTTATTCCTCTCCTCTGAAAGGGCACAAGCGCTTCTGCATGTGGAGAGATTGTCAGTGCAAAAAATGCAGCTTGATCGCCGAGAGGCAACGGGTGATGGCCGCTCAGGTGAGCAGCGGTTGTGGAAGCAAGACACAAATGGAAATGCGGGGAGGGGGACCAAAGGAACCTTACTCCTGCGCCATCGTACGTGTTCAAAACTCATTGCAGGTTCTTTTCCACCACCATCAGGTTCTAATCCGGAGAATTTAAGACGTTCCCCCTCGTTTCTAACAGTCAAGTACTTTATGCTGGATTCTTACTATTTATCCCCCAGAAAAGGATACTTCGGCTGGTAAAATTGAGAACCGATTCATAAATAACAAACGACGTAACCTTAACATACATGCACTTGGCTCAATGGGACTTTCTCCCCGGTGCTTTGGCGGCGGTGCATGCTGCCTTACTTAGGAACAAGCACCATTGGATAGCATTTTAACTGCTACCGCCCAAACAGACCTGGTTAGCACGCTTATGTTCAAATATTTTAAAAGGTGGTGAACGTTGTCGAGGGGGTGTGAGATGTTGCATCACTGTTTAGAATATGTTGTGCAACCAAATTGTGCAAACTAGTTTAGTTCTGGGAGGCGTTGTGGATGTGTGTTTAAAATGTGTAATTTCTCCCAATAGTTTCCAATATTTCTTCACTCCTTTGTAGTCAGGATTCTGAGTAATACTCCTTTTTGTAGGCATGTATTAAACTTGCCAAGGAGAGAAAAGTTTAATTAAGTTTTAAGCGTGCAGCCTATGCATATTTGACCGAAAAATGTCTTTCAACTCCCAGACAGGCAGAGGAATACTCAGGACTTTTCCCCTTTCTGGACATGCATAGGATTGTGCTTTTTATGTTCTTTCTTATATCTGCAAATAGAAAGAGGGAAAAGGAGTTGTATGTTGAGGGAAATTCCTAGACTCAAATAAGATGCTGGGCTCTGAGCATATTTTACCATTTCACATTCTAGAAGTGATGAAAAGTTACATTAGAAAGTACATTTGGAAAATGAAAAAATGCTTGTAATAGTACAAATGTTACCAAGTCTATCAGGATGAAAATAGTTGAAGGCAAACAAACATGAAACTCAGAGAAATTTCAGCTTTATTTTGCTCAAGATAAACTTCAGATTGGGGATTCTTGCATATATCTTGGCTTTAATAATTATAAATACACAAAAATATTTACATTTTAACTTTGTTGTCATATGTGAACAGGCCCAGCTTCTATCATCTTTAATATTCAGTGAGTGAAATGGTCATTGTGCAAAAAATAATAGATCAAAAAGTTGAGTTGCATATTGATGTGTAAGACCTCCAAAATATATAACTGTCTTTTTATTTCCACACTATTAATTTGTGTTGGAAGTAATTAAATATTCATACACACACACCCATTTAGAATGTTACCAATCTTGCCACAATGCAAAATTGTTTGCAAAAGATCTTTACAAATGTTTTCCATATTTTACGGGCTAACACTTCAAGAATTTCAGTCACCAGCTAGCAAATAACCCTGACTGACTTATTATTTAGGCAGACATACTTTATTTTCAATAGTATTTTTTCCATTAATCTTATAATAGGTTGCATCCTTATGGGTAAAATCTAGCATCAACATAAATGGGACTTACATTTACTTATATCCCTCTTTATACTACTTCAGAGATCCTTTGAGGTTGATTGGGTTGGCCCTGAACTTACCCAGCGTGCTTAATGGCTGAGTGGGACTAGAACCCAATTTCCCATATCCCCAATCCAGCACCCTACATGGGCTCTGCAAAGTCAAAACTGGTGATTATCCTTTATTTCCTTGCATTGAGTAGGGAATATGGAATAACTCCATCTTTCAGGAGGGCACTCTCTCTAACAAATAATTTCCATCTGTTCTAGAACCATAGTATTTCTTTCAAACATTTTAAAGGAAATGGCTTTGGAATGCTTGAAAGAAACAAGATTAAAGAGTGGGTGGCTGCTAGTCAAATGCAAACCATAATTAGCTAGAAGAGCATAATTTGGCACTAAGCAGCAGATAGCAACTAAAAGTGCTTCTTTTAAGTTACTGAGCATGTATCTCAAAAGTTTTCTTTGCAATGTATTGGGGACAGCAATTAATTCAAAATCTACTCCAGTTCAAGTGATCATGTTGCTCTTGTTTCTTCAATTTATTCCTTTGCAGCTGTAAGTAACGGGCAGGAATTTGCAGGTAATAACTCAGCCAGAACCAAAAACACTTGTTGAACATTGTATTTTGTTATTAGAAAAGACAAAAAAAGGTACTGGCCTGCTGTGAGTTAACACCACCTAGCAGGTTGTTGTATGTATGCTGGACAAGTTTGCATGGTTGCTCTGCTAACCAATGTGCTCTGCTAATGGTTAAACTTAAGAATGATTAAACCCCTAATCCTAACCCTTTTCTTATATGGACATTGTACAGTCTAAATTTGGTTTCCTACTTGAGTACAGAGATTGATCAGATTTAGATGATACTAAATCTGCATTACATGCAGGTACCAGGTTGAATATGCACCTTCCCCCCAACTTGGAGGTGGTTGTTTCAGGCTTGTGAATGAGGGTTAAATAAACACATCTTTAATAAGCCTTGTATAACTCTCAAATGGACCCATGGATTATGTGCAGGTTGTTTAATATCATATAACACATGATACTGGGTTCACATAATGTGACAATCCCAAAGCAAGGTTTGCCTATTTAAAATGGCAGTTGCATGCATTACAGCCTCGCTGTAATTTAAAAGAGGCTTGGTGGTCTGGGTCTTGAATAGTCCCAATAGAAAACTTCAGCTTACCTCAATAAATACGGTAGGAGTTGTAGTCTCCATACAATGAGAGTCCTAGGCTAAGGAAGTATTTCTTCCCAGATGAGCATAAATAGGGTTTCAGCTAAGATGCAAACATTGCATGCAGCTTACTTCTACTAAGTAGGTTTATGATTGCAGATATAGAGGTTTCAGCCCAGGAGCACCAGCCTGATGGTTGCCTTCTTTGCTTACTATTTTATGCCATAATCTCACTGCTATTTGTCCTGTTTAAAACAGGATCATGGCATCTCTCTTCAGGCATTCCAGGCTTATTCAGCTGGGCAAGACTTTAGAAGGACAGGGGAAGAAGGACAGGGATCTCCAAGGAGCAGTGGACTAAAGATGGGAAGATGATGGAAGTTATGGAAGGGAGGAAGGATGCAACTTTATGTGACTGGATTTGTCAAAGACCACAATAATTCTAAAGCCGCTAAATTATATTATTGGAACATAGTTCTAAGGACCTAGTATCCCTTGGATCATGGTTTCACTTGAGCCCCCAAACTGCAGCAGCTTTTACAGATTGACATTTAGGACTGTTTGATTTACATGGGGAGATGTTTTGCTCCTTCCTTATGTTTCACATGTTAAAGCCACTTTGACTTAATGATGTTCACATGTGACATATTTTTGCTTCTTTGGCAGTGACCTGAGTTCCTGTATTCTGCCCCTCTGGTTTGCCATCTGAGCTTCTTTCTCACCATTCATTTTCATAGCCAAGTCTATTTGTCGCTTTTTATTTTAGTGTGATTTCTGTATTAACAGCAACATGTCAGACTGAAAATCATCCTCTTGTCTGCTTACTGGAGGATTGCCCCTCTGCTTGCACTGCAGTGGCAGTGCACAGTTCAAGGAAGTTGGTTAGCTGGATTAGAGTAATTTTTGCATTTTTAAGAGAGATCCTACTGGATTTGGTTTAGAACTAAATTGGTAAATTTTCATCTTAAAAAAATGCAAATCTTTGTTCAAAAATGAAAGAAGTAGTTTATATCAATATGTTTCTCATTTTTCTGTTGCAGATTTCAGCAATAAAATAACAATTGCAACTGCGAAACTGAAACACAGCAGTATAAGTATACTGCTGATACTGTGAGAATCAAACCAATGTTTACATTTTTTAGATATGTTCATAAAAAGCAGGTGGTATACAGTAGTATTTTCTGATAGGTGAAAGAAATAAAAAGATTCCATATTAACTAAAAGATACCAGGTTAGTTTTTTTTTAGAAGTCTAAGTTGCCATGTTGGCTTCTTCAAGAAATGACTATATGCCAAATCTTTTGGAACCAAATTTCATTTAAAATTACAATACTATTATAACTGTGCCTGGTGAAAACTAATTTTAGCATCAATAGGAACAAAATATAGACTTTCATGTTGTATTTCTTTATGTTGTACTTAAAAATGCCCCCAAAGGAATAAAATTCATCTGAGCTGCTCTTACAGGGCAGAAGGCTGGACAAAACACCATCCTTTAAAAAAAAGTCACCACACTTCCTTGCACAATACGAAATCGAGTACAGCTTGTTCTTGATACACAGAATATACAAGGTTGTATCTCCTAGGGTGCCTCCTCTCTCACACACACACATGGGTCAGATGCTTTAAGTTTGGAAGAGGTAAACTTAACTGAGTGTGTTTCTGGACTATGCCTTGACCGAATTAGGCCCTTTCTACAAAAAAGACAGGAATCTCCATTCATTCCCTGCCCACAACAGACCCTAGTGGAGCAGCCACACAGATAACTCTGAAACACTTCCAAAATCTCTGCATTTCAACATTAGGTTTACTATTTGATGCTTTGCATTTGGGTCTCTTCCCCACTCCTTGATCCTGGATTCACTGAGGCAAAGGAAGTCTTTGAAGTGTTTTTGTTTATTTTTAATCAGAGTATTAAACATGTCAAAGGTGAGATGATCATAAATTAGGAAAGCTTTCCTCCACTGTGCACATTTCAGTTCCTTTTCATGTTGTGTTCTTAACACACATGCGGGCTAGGAAACACTGGGAGCTGTAGGACTTTTTTCTGACTTAAGCCTGCATAGGATTGCACCCTTACAAACTACTTTTAAGGAGACATTTGTTCTATTCAGTTTTGCACCATATTTAGATGTTCAGTTCTTCATGGTGTAGCTGCTGCTGCTGGTTTTCATATTGGAGGACAACAGTCTCACAATCTCATCCCCAGGTTGCACTGAGAAGGCAACAAGCTCAGGAAGAAGAACTGGGCATCAGCCACCCCATCCCACTGCCTAGTGCCACAGAAATGTATGTTAAGAAAGAGAACAATGCCAATGGTTCCTGCCTGTTGCTGGAAAGCAGCAGCCCACCCCAGTCTACCACTGCAGCAACTGCCGTGTCTGCTTCTGCCACAGGTAATGCTATGTAGACCCTTTGCATCCCTTGATGGTGAGGAGGAGGAAACAGGCTGTCACGAGTTTTAGTTCTAAGGAGCCCATACGATAATAGTGTTTAGATAATAACTGAAAACAAAATTGCTTTGATTTCTACAAATGGAGCAAGAACTAAATGTATAAAATACTTTTTAAAGAACACAGTCCTTTTGTTTAACATTTCATTGAGGTACAGAAGAAGCTGGCACATACCTGGTCATATGAATTACTTAGTATTTATATTATGTGTTTATGGCATTTATATTGCATTTCACATCTGAGCATATTCCAGAGAGGTGAAAAATAAAAAAGTTTAAATACATTAAAAATTGAATCAGTAAAAACTGTGGCTAGTCAGTTAAGAAGATTTCCTGAAATAGCTGTGTTTTTGGGAGACTCTGAAAGCACTACTGTGTAGCTTCCTACCAGACCTGCTAGGGTAGGAGGTTCTTATTTGGCCCCAGTTCCATGCAGAACCATTAGCAGCGTTGCCAACACTGATGACTTCAGTGAGTGGGTAGATTGGAAAGGCAGGAGATCTCAAGTATTTTTATATCAAGTTCAGTGTTTGCCTACTCCCAAGGTCTCCAGCAGATATCTTTCCCTCCACCTAGTCATTTGAGCTGGAGTTGTCAGGAATTTAACCTGGGACTAACTGCATGCAGAGCATTTGGTCCACCTCCATTTGTTCCCTCCTAGCTGCTGAATTGTCATTGTGTAAATGTGCCATGAGAGAGGATGATATAAATGTTGTACAATGTGTCTTGATGCACTTCCTTGAATGAAGGTCTTCTGGATTTGTAATCTCAACACTTGGAGATTCCAGGCACTCTAGTCATATGTTCTTGAAGATATTTTGAATCTTGGTCCTTAAGTTCTAGAATTAACAAATTGTCCACCTGGGGTACACATTTGGGAATTTGAGATGCTGCCTTGGGCACCACCACAAAATGGCTAATCAGCAAATGCTTGTTTATGTATGTATTTAATCTGTATCCCACCTCTTCCTTCAAGGAACCCAAGCCAGTTTACATAAACTTCCTCTCCCTCTCCATTTTATCCAGGTTAGCCTGAGGGTCAGTGATTGGCCCAAAGTTTCCCAAAGTAAGTTCATGACTGAACAGGGACTGGAACCTGAATCTCCAAGTCACAGTCTGACCCTTTACACGTGTCACAGTGGCTCTGCTGGCCACATCTGTGAATCTTAAGCTGCGTCTTATTCCACAGAAACTCTAACTCTGAATAACTCATTCACCAGAAACTCAAGGGATTACTTTAATTACTGATAGTGCAATGTAACTACTTTTTTCAGTATAGCTAACTTGTTTTACTAACTACACAAACTACTTGTGTTGTAGTTTCTTTTTGGAACAATATTACTACAGAGACAATTTTTGTACTAGGAACAGTCAGATCTACATGCTTTTCAACATTTCCCTGCTTTGTGGATATTAAAAATGGCCTGTGTAAATGTATTTCCCTTGCCCTTTTGACAGGTTAAGTTACCTGTATTACAGCACTGAAAGGATAAATGCTCTCCTCCTGTAATGCAGTGCATTTAGGACCTTGTAATGCTTTCAGTATTTGAACAGGAAGCATTTAGATGCCACCTTCAAATGTGTGCTTACTTAGGTAATTCAGTTCACTTCTGTGGAAGGTATGCATTTAATATGTATTAATGGCTGTGAAATTATATATGTGTATTAGCAAATGGGAAAATTTTAAAAAAAATATAAAAGTTTTGCAGTTGCTCATTGGTAACCTCTTCATGAGTGCTAGTGAAGATGCAGAGACATCATGGCACCTTGGGGTGCTATGTTGGGAACCCTACTGTAAGGCAGATGTGTGGAAGAAGGCTTGCATATTTAAATATTTAGCTATGTTAGGCTGTGTTAAGGTGAGGTCGTGCAGGTCCTGAATTAGTTTGTAGATTTGCTGATGGGCTGGATGAGGGCCCATAAACTGAAGCTGAATTTTGACGAGACAAAAGCCCTGTGGCTCAGTGGTGGTCCAGCAGAGTCCAAAAGATAGGCTCATTGCCAGTTCTGGAGGTGATTGAACTGAATGATCAGGTTTTTAGTCTGAGTTACTCTTAGATTGATCATTGTTGCTGGTACCTGCAGTGGACATGTTGGCTCTGAGTTCCTTTTACCAGCTTTGGCTGGTTTATCAGCTCTTCTGGACAGGGATAACCTGGCCCCAGTGATACAGGCAGTGCTAGCAATCGCAACACTGGATTACCACATGTGCTTTTTGTAGAGCTGCCATTAAGGCTGATCCAGAAGCTGGAGCTAGTGCAGAATGCAGTAGCTCTGCTGTTATTTGGAGCTGCTGCTTTTTAGCAGGTAGCTCCTTTGCATTGATTGCCTTTTCACTGCTGAGTGATGTTTCAGGTAAAGACCTTAAACAGCTTGGTACCAGGATAGCTGACAGTGCCTTCTCCTTGCCAACTTGTCCAGTCACTGCAGCCATTAGATTGCGTATTCCTGGTGGTTCCATATGGATCTGTGACCTGGTTGGAGTCTACCAGAAAGCCAGCAGGTCAAACAAAATACAAACATCTGTTCAGTTTAAAACATGCATTAGCGTATAAATTGTATAATTCTAAAAATATTAATGTTAAAATGTGTTGGCAAAGAGAACATTTTAATTTGCTGCTAAGACATATATCGAAAGTTGGTGCTAATCATATCTTCTATGAGAAGGCATTTCAGAGTTGGGGTGCTACCACAGAGAAGGCCTGTTTTGTAAATGCTTATTGTCTCCCTCAGATAATATTTGGAAAAGGAGTTTATTCTGTAGATCTTAGTGTACAAGCAAGATATTTTTCAGACTGCTTTATGCAACATATTTCTAGAATGTATCTCTTAATAGATGTACAACTCAATTTTGTATTTGCTTCCCTAAGAGTAAGTCAGGCTGCTCTCAAGTGGAAGTACTTCCAAAAGAATTTGCATGTAGGATTGCAGCCTCTTTAGAAGACAGCATTTGATGGAGAAGGGCCAATTAATGCCTTTTTCTTCACCCTGACTATGGAAGTTTCAACAAGCACCATCATTGTCTGGAACAGTCTACGGAGATCCATGGGGTCAGATTTCAGCTTTGACATCTCCACAGAGCTGCAGGTTCATTTTTCTTTTTGAGGGTTCTCACCCCTCCCCAGGGTATGACCGTTTTTCTTTCAAACTTCATCACACTGTACATGGTTTACAGTGAGAGGAATAGGGTGTGAAGGAGCCACACAAATCATACAAGGTACCAGAAAAGTCTTTTTCTCTCTGTATCCATTTTATTGGCAGGTCAGAAATATTATGGCACATTGAGAGGCCAGAGACAATTTTTCAAACCCCCCGTGACATGCCATTCTTCCAAAACGAAAGGAAAGGAACAAGAGCTGTGGTGCTTGCCAACATACTCGCATCTCACTGCAGGCGTTAGAAACATGGATTACTTTTAAAGGACTTTGAATACGTGGCAGGAACTGGAAAAGTATTAGAACCTAAAGTTGCAGGCAACTTTTACTTCCAAACATACACACTTAGAATTGTAGCCTAAATTTGTCATAATTCTTGATGATTAAGCTAAAATAAAGATGCTGGTCTAAGTTTATTGCATAGTAAATTTCAATTAACAGCATGTTTTCTTGGAAGAAGTGGGGTTGGTTGGTGGGGGTATTAACAATTTAATGAATGGTGGAGGGATTGTGATGAGGGTGATTCTTATCTACCATTTTTAGAGGAAAACGTTATCCTAAGCATTTTTCTATGGATAGAGTGTTGGGCCTAGGCTAGTGTAGTAATGTTTGTGATTGTGATGAGAAAAGAGAGATGTGGCTTACACAATAAGAAAACCCATTGTGGGTTGTTATGCCATATGAACCTAGGCTATATCTTGCATCTTGGCTGGTTTTTTGTATTTTGTTTTTCTTGAGAAGGCATTCACTGATTTATTTATTTATTTAAAGCATTTGTATGCTGCTCAGTTGTGCCACAGCACCTCTGGGTGGCACAGAACCATAAGAGTTGTTGTTTTAAGAGTTGTTTTATTCATAGTGGGTAGTCATGTTTTCCTAAACACAGGAGAACGTCCCATTGTGGGTAAAAGGAAGCCGCAGGAAAGTTGTTCATCAATAATGGAAAAATAAAGAGTTGATGGTCTTTGTGATCTTGCTGACACTGATGGACCTTCTGGAATACCCAAGTTACACTTTGGAGGGGCTGTCACAGGTTGGCTCACCCTTAATAAAGCTGCTCAAAATGCATCCAAGGTTTTTCATTTTTTAAAATTCTAGTTGACTTGCACAAATCCTTGCTTGAGCAATGTCCTAAAGAGTAATTGCTGTCAAAAGTGTAGCAAGTACTAACCTTTGACATTGACCCAAATAGGGCACCAAATAGGGCTTTGTTTTGTTTTCATTTGCTTTCCCCGACAGCTGTCAAAATGTGAACCATTAAGGAAAAGCAAAGCCATGAGTGATCCTTGCTCATGAAAGGGGATAGACATCTTCCCACCTCTTTGCAGCAGGGTTCTTAGGGGCTTGATTGTCATCCATCATGTCCCACTGTCCCCAACCTTTAGGAGGTGAATTAATGTATCCCACCCGCTTTTTGCTGATGCTTACCTTTGGGAGCTGTTAGAAGTAGGACACAGGCAATCCTTGAGTTATAAATGCCCAAGTTACGAGCAATCCATATTTAAAAATGAACTGCCATAAAGCCTATTAATTTTTAAAAATTACTGCAGAAAATTGTCATCACCATAGAGAGAGGAAGAAAAAGGGGAGATGGAGGCCTCCATGCCTTCCTGCTCCACCAATCTGGAAAGGGAAATCTCATTGCATTTCTTTGCTGCAAAGAAGAGGTACTGGTGAGTTTGGTTGGGGGCGGGGGTAGAGATATTTGCTGTTCTTCCTCTTTCACAGGGGTCCTGCACCCCTAATCCTTATGAATGTGGAGGGCCAACT